AAGTGCTAAAAGGAGCAGACTTCCTATTTGAATGACATTGTAACCTGCGGTTTCTATAGAGCCTTCAGTCTATATAGAATATGCCCATAATCTGAAAAATTCACTCACATGACATTTTTTAAAATTATTGTTTAGTCATAGATGAACACAATACCTTATTTGTTTATTTATATGGGATGCTGAGGATCAATCCCAAGGCCCCACACATGGGAGACAAGCGCTCTACCACTGAGCCACAACCCCAGTCTCCTTACATGACTTTTTTTTTTAACGCTTATGTTTTAGTTATARCTGGATACAATATCTTTAATTTATTTATTTATTTTTATATAGTGCTGAGGATCGAACCCAGGGCCTCGCTTATGCTAGGCGAGTGCTCTACTGCTGTGCCACAACTCCAGTCCCTTACATGACATTTTTAAAATGTCAATTTAGCAACTGTTACTGCACTTCAGACATGGTCCTTCAGACACAGGTACCTGGGCCACAGCAGCCAGCAGGCTGTATAGTAGGAAGCTAACTTTCTAGCAGAGGAAGATGGCAAGTCACAAAACATGCAAACAACTAACAATAAAATACACAAAATTGTCACTGCTGTGCAGAGAATATAATGTGGTGATGTAACAGAGGAAAACAGTGGCTCCACCTATAGGGTGGTGGACAGAGTAGTACCAACTAAGGTGAAAACTGAGTGACAAGACAGCCATGCAAAGAAGAGGGACAGGTTGCATGGGGAAAACTGACACATTCTCAAGAGATCCTGGTATTTGGAGCAATTTTTTTTTTAACCATTTAAATTGCATCTTAGGTGTGAAATAATGCAATCTGTGGGAAATTATAGGTATCTGACAGCTCAAGAAAAGAGAATCACAAGTTAGTACTTTTGCTCTGCAGATTCAGAGGAGTTCCTAAAGTAAACAAGCCAGATAAAATACAAGACCAACCAAAAAGCAAACATTAGCCAGGTGTGGTGGTACATGCCTGTAATCTCAGCTACCTGGGAGGATGAGGCAGGAGGATCATAAATTCAAGGACACCCTGCACAACCTGGTGAGATCCTGTCTGAAAATGAAATAAAAATGGCTGCAGTACATGTGGCTCAGTAATAGAGCACCTCCCTAGCATGTGCAAGGCCCTGGGTTTAATATCAAGTAATGCAAAAAGAGAAAAAGAGAGAGAAACAAACTAGCCAGGAAAGAGAAACACTTGCCTCTGCTCTATCAGAAACATTCATAAAGCTGAGGGCCATGGCCCCTGCCTGTAATCCCAGTGGCTTGGAAAGCTAAAGCAGGAGGATTCAAGTTCAAAGCCAGCCTCAGCAATTTAGCGGGGCACTTAGCAACTCAGTGAGACCTGTCTCTAAAAATAAATTACACACACACACACACACACACACACACACACACACATATAAATAAGAAGGCTGGGGATGTGGCTCAGTGATTGAGCACCCCTGGATTCAATCCTCAGTACAAAAACAAACAAACAAACAAACAAAAACATTCATGAGTTTCCATTTCTCTCTTGAATTTGTTTCCTTTTCTTGGGGAAACAAAAACAAAACCAGATCAAAGATGTCTCACAGCTCTGAAATATTTCAGGTGCAAAAAAAACTTGAAGAGTTGGTTGTAAACAAGAAAGGCCCATTGCAATTACAATTTTTTTTTTTGGTGGTGGGAACTGGGGATTAAACCCAGGGGTGCTTTACAACTGCATTACACCCCCAGCCACACACACCCTTTTTTTGAAACAGGGTCTCACTAAGTTGCTTAGGGTCTTGCTAAATTGCCAAGCTTGCCTAGAACTTGTGAGCCTCCTGCCTCATCCTCCCAAATCACTGGGATACAGGTGTGTACCACCAAGCCTCGCTGCAAACTCAATTTTTACATAGAACTTATACCCTACACCTCCTTCAAAGGAGAATAGAGGCAGCTTTGAAGTAACAACCCTCCAAATCAAGGTAAAAGCAAGCAGGATAAAGTCATGGAGATTTAATGCACAGAAATGCAGGTAGATTAAATACTCAGGGATCCACAATTATTAGCTGTGACTCAACCTAAAAAAAACTGTTTTTTTTTTTTCCTTCCACTATCTAGTTTGAACTCAGCTCAGTAACAGACACTAAAGAGAGCAGTCATTTATTTCAGGTCTGGAGCTACTAGGAATAATTAAATAATAACAAAAAATTTTAAAGATCCCAAAAGACTCCATTTATTCTCCCTTAAGCCTCTGTCCTTATTAAAGATCTTAAAATAAGAAAAGGGGACATAAATGCTAGAGTCAGTTGTGTGGCAATAAAATAGTAACATGACACCATTCCATCAAAAAAAGATGGAAAAAAATAATCTGAGTCTATTAACAGATTGCCAAATTTGCCAGTAGCATAGAAAGAAGACGAATAAACAAACTCATTGACAAGCTCACTGTCATTACCAGACGAAGGTCAGAATTTCATTGTTAGCTCTAGAAACTGGATTTATACTCTTCCTTCTTCCTGAAATCTCAAAGAACTTTCTTATCAAGCCATGTTGTCTCAAAACAAACACAAAGCATCATTTCTACAACTAGACAGACTGAAGTTAAAAAAAAAAAAATAGCCAGGTGCAGTGACACATGCCTRTAATCCCATCAGCTTGGGAGGATGAGGCAGGAGGATCACAAGTTCAAAGCCAGCCTCAGCAATGATGAGACACTAGGCAACTCAGTGAGACCCTGTCTCTAAATAAAATTAAAAATAGGGCTGGGGATGTGGTTCAGTGGTTGAGTGGCCCTGAGTTCAACCCCCAGTAAAAAAAAACAAAACAAAAAAAAAAAAAAACACAAGAAACTCCACACTTTTGGAAGAGGGACCTTTCTTCCTAATATGAACCCAAATGCCACTTGCAAAATTCTACCTTGTAAAATACTTTAGTATATTTTCCTTGGGGAAGGACAATGATGAAGAGCAAGGTTAAGACTCTAAAGAATTCAAATCCAGCTCAGTCATTTAATAGATGGGTTTGATTTCAGGCAGGTTTTATAATGACCATGGCTTGACTTTCACCTATAAATTGGGAAAGATAACAGTATCTTGGGGAATTGAAAATTTAAAAGAGCTATATGCTATGCTCTCAATTATATGTTAAATGAATAAATGCATTCATATGGACACTAGTTACCAAGCAGGTACTTCTGTTCACTAGGAGACATTTAGTAATGTCTGGAGACATTTTTAGTTCTTACATCTAGGGGTATGTGCTACCAGCACCTAGTGGGTATAGGCCAAAGACAAACCTTCTTGAATGCACAGGACAGCCCCTTGCAACAAAGAATAACCTGGCCCCAAACTGCCTGCAATGGTGCTGAGATGGAAAAACCCTGATTGTAGTACAATATCTGCCACATGGCAAATGCTCTATGACAGTTATTCAAATTTGTTATTTTTCCACTAAAATATCTAATCCTGTGATATCTTCTTGGAACAGGGGCCATATAAACTTAAAAAAAAAAAAAAAGAAAGTCTGCTGTTGAAATCCTCCTCTTGGCTGAAATGCCAAAAGGATATTATCAGCAGCAAGAGGTTTTAGATACACTGTGGAACTGGGAGGCCAGAGTACAACTGAAATATAAATTTTGTATCTTTGTACTTCCCTGAGAAGAGGCACATTAACTTTCATTCCTCCCTCTCACTATCCTCCCCGCACCCTAGGAAAACAACAAGCTTGTCCAGCCTCAAAACTGTGTTTGCTGTTTCCTTTACCTTGGACACTCTTCCCTCAGCTCTCTTCCTCCTCTTGTGAGCCTCCAATTCCTTAGGAAGGCATTTCTGTCCCACTCTCCTCTCTATTCCCTACACAGCACTTCTTGAAGCTCTTTAAAATGGTTTCCTTGTTTATCGACTGTCCCATCCACTGGAATAGCCACGTAAGAGGGGCAGGGGGTTTGCCTTCACTGTTGACGGATAAATAAATAACCATTACACCCCAGGGTGCCTCCATCCCCCAGAGCCTGGGGCTCTCAAACGGCTGAGAACGACTCCTGGATTGCACGAGGGAAACGCAGCAGGTGAGGAACGAGGGTCTGCTATCCCTAGCGGAAGTGACAGGTGCACCCTCAGAGACCCTAAAAGTAGGAGCAGCTCAGAAACATGGCCCACCTCCCCCGGCACTGGAACGGGACGGAGGGGCTCCAGGCAGCACCCGGAAATCTCACCCTAGGGCTGGCCGGGCACGGGCAGGGGGAGCCGTGGCCGAAGGCCTGGGAGGGCCAGGTCAGGACCGGCTTCCCCAGATGGAGCCGCTCCGACCCGGCCTGAAGGCCCTGAGCCGGCCTGGCACGGCCGACCCACCCGGCCGAGGGGCGCTGGGCCGCGGACCCGGGGACCCGGGGCCCGGCCGCCTCACCTGCAGGTGAACTTGAGGGCGAGGAGCAGCGCGCAGCCGAGCGCCACGGCCCCGCAGAGCAGCTCTGGCCGCTGGCGCGCCATGAGGGAGGCGCTGCGCAGCCCGCGGCGGAGCCGGCCCGCCGAGGACGCTGGGGCCGGGGCCGGGCCAGGGGAGCCGGAGCCCGCGGGGCCGCCGCCGCCGCCACCCTCGTCCTCGGCGTCGTCGCTGCTGCTGCTGCCGCCGCCGCCGCCGCGGCCTCCGCATTCCGACATTACATGCTCCCAGTCGCCGGCTTTATACCGCTGCCACAGCCGCCGCCTCGGGCCCGGGGGCCCGGCCCGGCCAGCCGCTCCCCAACCCCGCAGCCGGCCGCGCCCGCTAACCCGGGGCCTCCACGTCAGCCGCGCCGCGGCGGCGCTCCGCCCCGCGGCTCCGCCCCCTGCTGACCGAGTCTGCGCGAACCCGGGCTCCTCCCGGCCATCCCGCTCCCTGGGGCCACGCCCCCTCGGACCCACGGAGTCTGCGCGCGCCGCTCMAGGCCCCGTCATCATCTCACGGGCCGCGTCCCCCCGCCCACGGAGTCTGCGCGGGCGCTGCCTTCCGCGGGCGTCTCTGGCTCCACCCCCTGCCGGGGCAGTCCGGTTGGACCCGCCGGCACGCGTGCGCGTGTGCAGTTCCGCGGGTCACGCTGGGTTTTCAGAGCCCCGGCGGTACAGCCGTCGGGTCCCCTGTCTCACCAAGAACGTGGAAGACTCCGAGCCACTCATTTATTCGTGCCGAGGCGAGCAGGGACACGGGTGGGAGGAGAGCGGTCTCAGTCTCAGCTTCTGCACCTCGACTCGCACTTCTGTAAAGTGGGGGCCCATCGCAGTCCTGCTCTCAAGATCGCACCAGGTGGCTCCTGGAAGGTGCCAGGCCTCGTGGGCCTCAGTACATCTTGGGTGGCTGGTGTTTCCCGCCGCCGTCCCCTCCAGTGCCCGAGCCCCCGTGGGGAGGGTCTGTTCTCCCGGCCTCACCTTCCAGAGGGGAAAGCCCCAGCTGGAAAGGTCACGTGACCGGGGTCACCCGGCGACCGCTGAGAGGTCAGGCCCCAAGGTCGTCCTGACCGGGAAGCCCCTCCAGCAGCCCACCCTGTGCCCCCACTGTCACGGTCGCTCTTTGTACGGACACACACAAGTTTTAGGAGGAACTAGCTCAAGGGAGCCGGCGAAGCCCCGCCATCTCGGGCTCCCGAGGGCTGGGGGATTCTGGCGGGTGGGTTGCGAGTGCGGGTCCCACTGTGGGCTCAGCGCTTGTGGTGTTGAGTGACTGCGGGTTAGATCCTGGGGACTGAATCCCGGCGCCTGGCACGGGCTAGGCAAGCACCCAGCTCAACGTACAGACCTTTTTGTTTTATTTTGCCCCGGTTGTCCTCCAACTTGGCCATTCTCCTGCCTCAGCCTTCTCTGACCAACCGGAATCACAGGCATGTGCCACTGTCCTCAGCTGTTAGATCTTTTCTAAGTAAGATCTGTGAATTAAAAAATTCAAGTTGGAAAGGGTGACACATGATTTCAGAATGACAGGAAGAAACTTTGCCTGAGGAGGAGGGACAGTACACTGGGGGTAAGTCTACATGATCATGCAGCTACAGAGGCCTCTGATCAAGACGGCCTCCAATATCAATAACTAATAAATATTATTATTCAATAGCTCATCAAAGAAAATCTGAGGGAATTACGGCAGCATGATGTTATGCAAGAAAAGTGTGTGCCCCCACACACACACCTTTCACAGGTCAGCTGTGTTCCTCAGTGCAAATCCTGTCCCTCCTTGTCCCGTTCCATTTCCACAGACGCAAAGTGAATTCTTGCTAGATGGACCAGACATTTAATGGTCAACCACCAGGGCCCAGTTTCCAGGCCCAAGGTGTTTGTGGCTCATTTACACCTGTTATTTTGTTATTTGTTTTCCTCTTTGCCTGTCTTGTCTCTCCTTTACTGTTTTAATAGCTATTTTCTAGCATACCACTCATTCCTTTAATGATTTTTAATTTTTAAATTTTTTTTAAGAGAGAGTGAGAGAGGAGAGAGAGAATTTTTTTTAATTTTTTTTTTTTTTAAATTCTCGGCGGACACAACATCTTTGTTGGTATGTGGTGCTGAGGATCGAACCTGGGCCGCACGCATGCCAGGCGAGCGCGCTACCGCTTGAGCCACATCCCCAGCCCTAATTTTTAAATTTCATATTTAGCAGATGCTAAGTACTACAGTATACATATTTCAGTATCTACTTCATATTTGTACTAACAATTCCAGAAAGATAGAGRAACTGCCCCAGGATGGCTCCAGCCACTCCTCTCTCCTTTGTGGCCCTTATTAACTTTGTCTATATGTTACAACTCAACCATATCCTGTTATATTGTTCTTATATAATCTTGTTTTTAAAACTTTAGAGGAAAGAATATATTTTTGGAGGAGTTCATTAATCTTCACATTTGCCATTTCTAGTTCTCTTGATTTCTCTTTCTGTAGATTTGCATTATGTGGCATATTACTAAAGAAAACCAGTATGGTCTCCTTGCTGGGCCTCATTCACTGTAGGTTGCTGGAACAGAATCTGCTCTATGTTCCATAAGCCATCTGGCATCTGTACAGGCCTTGATAAGGTTCAAAGTGCTTTTGTTGCCTGTGGTTTATATCATGAGACTTGTAATTCCTTGTGAACACACAATCAGGCTAATGTCGTAAGGACCAGGAAACACCCTGAATTAATAAAAGGGTGTGCCCTTTCCTCTTCTCTGAGAACCTAAGCTACTGCTCTGAAACCAGAATGTTCTTCTGAAACAATTATAATTTCAGAATAAGTCTTTGGGGTCAAGTGGCACTAACTTGTCCACATTAGGAAGCATCTGAGCTTTTATGGCCGTTCAGTGATCAAGTTGGTGGGATTTGGGAAAGGGTGGGAGAAGAAACACACACACACACACACACACACACACACACACGTATATATTTCCATAGATACCAATTCTTTCTAAAAACTAGAGAGAAATAATGACCATTCAGTTTTAAAGCTTCCAAGCATTTACTTACAAAACAGGGCGTACCTAACATGGTCCAGGACAGCAGGAATGTAGGAGGGAAGCCCAACCCTCTGCCTGGGTCCTTATCTGTTTCATGGAGACTTTGTATCATGATCCTAGAATGGGCTTTCTACAGATTTGCATTTGTTCCTTGCAACAAATACTCCGAAGAAGCCTGGATTCTTATTTCCTCAGACAGCTCAAGTTTGCAGGGTACACCAACTGCCCAGGAAATGGGCCCTCCTTCAGTTTTTCATTGAGGTRGCTCCCTGAAACTTAGTCACAACATCAAAGACTCTATTCAAAAAGCCCAGGTAGGGTAGGTGGCCCCAGGAAAGATGAGGGTAATGGAGGCAGCCTGCCTGCCCAGGACACCTCAGACCCTGGGGGCGTAGTAGGCAGAGGGAGGATTCCCCTGCAGCCTCTCTTCATTGCAGACAATAGAATTTTTTTCCCCTGCGGATTGAATCCAGGGCCTGATGCCTGCCAGGCAAGCGCTAGGCCAATAAGCTACATCTCCGGCCCTCTTATTTTTGAGACAGGGTCTCACCAAGTGTCCAGTCTGGCATTGAACTTGTAGTCCTTCTGCCTCAGCCTCTCAAGTACCTGGAATTACAGGCATCTGCTACCATACCCAGCTCAGCTTATAAAATTCTACGGGGACACAAGAACTTGCACAACAATGTGAATATTCACAATATCCAAAAAGTGGAAACAGTCCACACCTCCGGCTAATGAATGGATAAACAAAATGTGGCCTATCCATATACAATGGAGTGGTTTTTTTAACCATGAAATGATGTACTCATACATACGAAGAAACAGTGAACCTTGAAAATGTGCTAAATGGTAGAAGCCAGTCGTGAAAGAACACATTTGACTCCATTTATGTGAAATATGCAGGAGACTCCAGAGACAGAAAGCAAGTCAGTGGCTGCCGCAGCCTGAGACGGGGTGGGAGGGTGAGAGGCAATGAAAACATTCTAAAATAGGTTATGGTGATTTTAGCACAACATTACGAATATACTTCTTTTAAAAACTTTATTTTTTTATGTGGTGCCAAGTGCCTCACACRTGCTAGGCAAGTGCTCTACCACCCTACCACCGAGCAACACCCCCAACTCATGAATATACTTTTTTCGGGGGGAGGGACAGGGAACCATGAATATACTTTTTTAAAATATTTTTTAGTTGTCAATGGATTTTTATTTTATTTATGTATATGCAGTGCTGAGACTCGAACCCAGTGTCTCACACATGCTAGGCAAGTGCTCTACAACTGAGCCACAACCTCAGCCCGTGAATATACTTTTAAATCAAATCTCTAAATTGTATACTTAAAAATGGTGAAGTTTGTTTTATCTTAAGAATAATTTGAGCTGGGTGCAGTGGAGAATGCCTGTAATTTGGGAGGTTGAGACAAGAGGATCCTGAATTCAAAGCCAGCCTCAGCAAAAAGCGAGGCGCTAAGCCACTCAGTGAGACCCTGACTCTAAATAAAACACAAAATAGGGCTGGGGATGTGGCTTGGTGGTCGAGTGGCCCCCAAGTTCAATACCCAGTACCCTCCAAGAAAGAATAACTTGCTGTTACAACACCCCCCCCCATGGAGATAGCGTGTCCAAGTAGACACATATCACTGTCCCGACATCATTATGGAGTTGGAAGTTTGGTCTCACACTTTTCCTTTTCCTTTGTTCTCCTCAGGCCACCTTCTTTGCCCAATGAGCCATACACTTGAAGGATGGGGGTGAGATCTCCCACAGAATAATTGACCTTAACTTCCTGATGCTGAGACCAAGGCTGTGACAGCAGTGATCTTCGCTGCAAACCAGAGCCTGAAACTGGCGGATTTAGGCAGAAGTGGAATTCATGAAAGAATGGTTCCGGGCACAGAGAGCTGCTGAGAGGGTGGAGAGCTGGGCACAGACCTGGGGAGTAGGGGAGGAAAAGTCTCCACCACCCGTAGGACTTCAAGTAAGTTCTGTGGATCCCAAAGGTTAGAGCGACCGATGTTTTCATCTTTAACTGAGACAGCACCGGAGGCAACCTTTTAAGATCTCCTATTCTCTGTTTTATACATTTATTATTATTACTRTTGTTACTATTATTATTATTAAAAAGGCCAAAAGGAGTTTGGGAGAAAGCATAAAGGAAAAAAAATGCATTGAAGGCCATCAGACTAGGGAGACTGAGCAGAATCATGATTAGCACTCTGTTCTGTAGGAAATATCACCACTAACAGATGATGGATTTGGTAGGTAAGATTGCTTCTAAAGCATCTGTGAAGTAACAGTGGTGCCCACGGATAGTACCAGTTACTCAGAAGGTTGAGGCAGGATTGCTTGAGCCTGAGAGTTTGAGGCCAGCCTTGATAACATAGTGAGACCATCTCTTAAAAAAGATGGCTGGGGGTATAGCTCAGTGGTAGAGCGCTTGCCTAGCAGGCACCAGGCCCTGGGTTCTGTCCCAGCACCACAAAAATATAGACATGTGTGCATAAGAAGTAAAATCCAGACTCGGGCTGGGGTTGTGGCTCAGTGGTAGAGTGCTTGCCTCCCACATGAGGCACTGGGTTCTATCCTCAGCACCACATAAAAATAAATAAAGGTATTGTGTCCATCTACCATTTAAAAATAAATAAATAGGGGCTGGAGTTGCAGTTCAGTGGCAGAGTGCTTGCCCCTCACACGGGAGGCCTTGGGTTCAATCCTCAGCACCACATAAAAATAAATAAAGGTATTGTGTCCATCTACCATTTAAAAATAAATAAATAGGGGCTGGAGTTGCAGTTCAGTGGCAGAGTGCTTGCCCCTCACACGGGAGGCCTTGGGTTCAATCCTCAGCACCACATAAAAAAATAAAGAAAGAAAAATTTTAAATAAATAAACCCAGAACTGGTCTCCAGGGCCTTCCCACCCAGGGAGACCAGAGGCCCTCCCGACACCTTGGGGAGACTCGGGGGGCTCCTCCTACTCTGAACTGTTGGTTCTGCCCACTGCCCCACTTCCACCCTCCTGCTCAGCCCCGGAGGCGGGCCCAAGCCCCTCTTCCTCCCCAGCAGCCCACCTTCAGGGTTGTCATGAGGAAGGCATTCTGCCTGAGGGGTTCAAGGGTTTGTCCCCCACAGACCCTGCCTTTCAAGTCCTCAGCTGGCCCCTTCCCGTGGCCGCCTGCTCCCGGCCCCGCTGCGCTCTTCTCCCTGGCCCGCTGTCCTGCTCCCCGTTAGGCCAGTGCCGTTGTTTCTGTTCCCTGGCAGCCCACTGTGCCCACGCCCTCGGTGGTCCCTTTCAGCAATGCCAGGGCCTGTCGAGGGTGCTCTGTGGACTCCCACAGCCTGCGTCCCACCAGCTGGTCGCCGTCCTCCATGCTAAGTGACTCCCCTGAACAAACAGCACAGCCCCAGGATCACATATCACTCCACACCAGAAGCCTCAGCCCGACTCGGAGAAGAGGGTCTATGTGAAAAGCTGCCTCCAAGTGGCAATCTGTCACTCACTGCTTAAATTAAAATATCTTTTTTAAACCAACTTGTGATTTTGATACCCAGTTTCAACAATTCTTTGTGGGGAAAGAACCACACCAAAAAAAAAAAAAAAAGTTCATCTATATATAAAATTTTTTATTACAGGCAATATTGGTCCATACACTACACGATACCAACAGTACAAGTTTAGTCTTTCAAAATCATCATTTAAACAGCAAAAGACCAAGAAATAAAATTTGATTCAACTGATTATTTTTCAAAATAGTCTCAATGCACATTATCCTCACTTCCCTTATTATAGTGAAACATACAAATACAGAAAAATACCCCATTTAACATATACTAGTGTTAAATGGTTATTTGGCTTAAAATCTGAGTTAAGAAAATCCTTTTTAGCAACCTACATACAGATAAGTAGCAAACTTTATTATATTAAACAAATTCATTCCGCTAAAACATGTAAAGAACTTCATTCATCATGTATTCTGATCCCAGTACCAGTGTTTATTCTCTTACCGTCACGGTTCTTATCTGCAGGACCAACTCAAAGAATCGTCCTAGACATAACCTTATCCTCTTCCCAACACACTTCATCCAAAAGTCTGTTCAACAGAGGGCACCCGGGTAGCAGTCACTTCGCCATTTGATGCCAATGGTTCCGTGAGAGCCTGGCGGGACCTGTTAAACAGCCCGTTTTCCTACCTACTGTGGGTTGCTGCTCAGGAGGAACGATACACGCCAATACAAGCAGAAAATCTGCAGCTCCTCTGCTACGTGCCTCAGAACACTTTCAATTTTTCTGGTCAATGCTCTGATTAGGTTACATAAAAGCCAGCATATTAGTTTAAATCTTTAAACAAAAAACTATATTTTCCAAAGTCATTATCATTTGGGGCAATTAAGTGATCTTTTCTTGCTTTGTTGAGCTTCATCTGGAGGGCGCGTCTTCTTTCTTCCCACTCTTGAAGTTCAGCATTTCCATGAGCAAATTTACAGCTGCTGCCTTCTGTGCAGGTACCATTCATATACCTGGGAGGACGAGGCAGCTCGGTAAGGGTCACAGGCATTTAGGAAAACCAGRCCACAATTCATGGAGAGAGAGACTCCACTAGCTTTATGAACTGCATGTAACTCTCAGGAATGTTTCTATTCACTTGTTCTGGTGCTGGGTATGGAGCCCAGGGTGTGGGCCTCTAAGTACGCACCTTACCATGGCCAGGAAGCCAGGGCCTCCTGTCTCGAGCTCCACCCCCAGCCCCGATCTGTACTTTTCATTGAATACATCACAATAGTTTAAAGTACTGATTTCTCTACAGATAACATGCCCATAAGATTCATTTTCCTAGGCTTAAGCTTCCTAACTGGGTTACGTGTAGCTCACTGGTAGCACAGATCCTGAGCAGGTGCGAGGGTATCTGCCACACCAGACACTCTGTCCCCTGATAATCTCCATGAAGTTGTAGGAGTTCAGCAACGTCCACAGGGAAAACTGTCCAGACCTACATACCTCTCACAAATACTAAAACACCCTGTGGGGAAGCGGTGCTGCCAGCAGTACTGGTCATCTTCAGTGTGGAAAACCTTCTCTTTGTGCTTCTCCGAAGAGATGTGGCCCTGCCACTGCTTCTCACTGTTACAGTTCTTCCCGCACATCCAGCAGTGAAAGTCCACCTAGTGGGTGGCAAAGACAGGTGGCCATCAGGGATGCTGTCTGTGTCCTGAAACTGCTCGGGGAAACCGGGAGGTCCCGATGCCACCTGCTCTAAGTCCCAGGTCCACTCTAAGGGAGCAGGGTAAGAACACAAAAGTCAGAGTCGAAAGCAGGAACAAGGAAGAGACCGCAGCAGGAGGAGGCAAGCCAGCACACAGAGAGCAGAGGCGGCGTCCACTCCTGCTAGGCACCCAGGAAGCCTCCAGCAAGAAGCTGAACAAACACGGATGTTTGTCAGGAGGACAAGAGGCAGGTTCAAATAAGGATTCTGGGAGGAATCCGCACCACGGGGGAAGATGGGAGGATGTGAGAGACAGAGCACACCAACTCCGGAAGGGCTAGCAGCAGCTCTGCCCCATTTTGGGGGGCATGAACTGAGCCATGATTACGGGTCAGGTTTGTGCCAGGAGGTAGGAAAGTACAGACAGATCTCCTCGGGGGAACTGTCACATGGAATTTAAAAGCTACAACAGGTGCAAACTCTAGGGGTTGGGGTTAGTCATTTCCCAAGTGTCCTGGCGGAGACATACCAGACCAGGCCAAACACGAGGCCTGCAGTGGGCTGGGCACGTGGACCTGACTGCACCAGTATGGAGAGGTGCCCAGGCCCAACAAGGAGCAAGCAGAACACAGGCACTGTGCGACGGAGGGGAGTGTGCTACACAACAGGCAGAAATGGATCAATGATATGTGAACACGGCCTAGAAACACAGCATCTGGTTCCTCTGGGAAGGGGACCAAATGGACTTCCAACTTGATCTGCAGCACTGTTTACTTTGCAGAAGCAAACATAAGTGTTGACCCTGGTTGACCTGGCAAGGTGGGCTCAAGCCATTCATTATGGGAGCTACTTTTAACTTTTTGAAAATTTTAAAAGAAAACCAAAACAGAGGACAGGGGGAAGAGGTGGCGAGGGATGGGAACGACAGTAGAATGAATYGGACATCACTTTCCTCTGTTCATACATGACTACATGACCAGTGTAAGTCCACATCATGTACAGCCACCAGCACGAGAAGTCACACTCTATGTAATATAAAATGTCAGTATACAGTCTACTGTCATGCATATTTTAAAAGAATAACAAAAGAAAGAAAGAAAGAATGAAAGAAATAAAGAAAGAAAGAAAGAAAGAGAAGAAAACCAAAACAGAAACAGACCATCAGTAATTCAGGTGTCTCCACACAGATGCAGAGAGGCCAGATTGCAGGAGATCAGGATGGAATGAGGCCTGGGCACCTTCTGTGGCCTCCCCTGGGATCAGTGTCCGTGCTCATCACGATTCAGTAAGACTCACAAAGACCCCACTAGAGAGAGGTCATTGATCTGCTCAGGGTCCCAGGCGGGCCAGGAGAAGAACAGGCCTGGGACGCACAATTAGGAAAAAGGACTGAGAGGAGGAAGTTCTAGCCCAAGGAGACTTAAGCTAATGGCAGGAAACTCCTGAGGAGAGAAGAGGGCCCCAGAGCAGGGCAGGCAACAGGAAATGGAGTCGGGTTTTGAAAAAGGTAGGAAAGGAAAAAAACTCCTCTCAACCACTGGCAGGCCGAGTTGGGCTGAAATGACCCTCGGTACTTACGGTGACCTCAGCATAATCTGTCGGCATGTGAATCTGTTTTCCATTTTCCTTGTTTGACTGACTGGCTACATCATCACTTTTTTCATTTTTTTGACTCTTTAGCCAGAGTTCATAAAACTGCTCCATATCTTGTACTAAAGAAAGATGAATTATTTCAGCAGCAACAAGGGAAAGCCATTTGAACCCATGCGTTATCATGCACATTTTCTATGTCAGCCAGCAGGTTTTCAAAACAAAGGCGAGAGGGCCGAGGGCGACCGGCGGTATTAGATACGGGGAGACGGTCCAGTCTGAGCAGCAAATAAATTCTCATGCRTAAGAATCAATTTCAGGACAATTAGGCCACAAACATTAGTTTGCAATATTAATTCACTGTTCCCTGCATTGGCCAGACACCCTGGGAGTGTTTAAAACTCACACCACCATAAAGGCACCGCCAAGAAAGCCTTGGCCCTGCTTACCGCCACCCGGCATCCCACCTCAGTGCCATAACCACGTCAGGCCACCAGCATGGCTCGGGGGCTCAGAGCTAATACACTCCCCACTTTTCACTGACCAGGGTCCCATCCCTGATGGGAGCCCGTCAGTCAGGCCGCAGGTCAAGAGGACTGACGTGCTGGGGAGCAAGTTGCAACAATACCACTGTGACCAGGTCCTGGGCAGTGGCTGCCAGCTGCATCCTGTGGCAAGAACAGGTAGTAGTGGGCGTCACCGCCAAGTGCTAAAACCAGGCTCTCTCAGCCGCGCCACTGCTGACACGCTGCTGGAGAATCTCTGCTGCCGGCAGCTGTCCTGTGCGTTATGGGATGCCGGACCCTGCCCAATCACCAGAAGCCAGGAGCACACTGCCCTCCGTTATCACTATGAAAATGTCTCCAGACACTGCCACCTGTCCCCAGAAGGAGGGAAGCTGAAGGGCCAGCTGTGTCCTCCTACAGAACCACTGTGTTAAACACTCTGGTCTGAGCATCTCATCTGCACTTGGCTTCCTGTCTCCTCCAGGGTTTCTAATACTGGATCATCAGGAAAGAGGAGAGAGAAATAGAGAAACTTCTCAGGAGCAGCGGCAGCAAGAGTCACTGCAAGATCCTAGGAGGGCTGACTGTGTGTCCTCAAGCAAGACAGCCAGAGGGACTTCCACACAAGTCACACAGCAGGTGGCAGCCTTAAATCCAATTAATTCTTGTCATCCAGAGACTGTGGTCAGTATATTTAAGATTAAAGAACAATGTTCCCTGTAGCAAGACAGTTTATGGTCAGAAGGAAAAGGTGGTCTGTGGCTCCTCTCAAAGGCTCCAAGATGAACTTAAAATCTGACCAAGGTGAAAGCTTTCTCTTTGGGTCTTGACTTCCTGTGGAGCCCTCCTGTCTGCCTGGCTGCTCCAGAGGGAGGGAGGGAGGGAGGCTGGGCGACAGGTGCCCAGGAGCAGACCACCTGGTTTAAGAAGCTACGGAAGGACCCAGCTTCCCTAGACCACTTCTGGGGAACACGTTTCTTAGATGAAACGATGCAGACCTCCACATTCCCATCCAAACCTGACCTAACGGAGCGTGCTGGCACTCAGACTCTGCTCCCCTGAGGCTGAGGTCACTGTCACTGTCACCACCAGGGTACAACTGTGTAGAATGCAAACTGCTTTCTGCTGGTGTTTTTATAAAAAAAAAAAAAAAAGGCATTTGTGGGTGAGCTAGAGTGCAGGTCAAGGACGCAGCGAG